ATCTTAGTTCTGGGAAGTGCTGAAACTGCTACATGATTACTGCAGGTTGGTCAGGAAAAGCCTTCAGCAGATTCCTGGAAATCAGTTCCACTATGCATTATAGACCCATAGAACGGATAAGTAGAGGACGATAAAATTCGACCTGCCACATTCATGCTGAATCATCCAGGAGCAAGTCCATACTAAATCTCTAAGGAATAAGTCAGCCATTCCCACTTGCCACATTTCCTTCGTATCCGTGTAGAGTTCTTCTTTGGGTACTTTTCCAAATCTCATACTTAAAGCTTCTTTAGAATTTGTCTCCACTACTTGCAGCTCAAAAGAAGTTGCTCTTGCCAACTGACTGAATTTTGCAAGGAAGGAAATCCAACCTTCTCCAATCTATCCCTGCAGCTTCTTCAGAGCAATGCCTATAAATCATTTCCAGACTCGCTCCGAAGGCTTCACATCATTCCTCATGGTCAGTATTCAGAATTGGACACAACAGAACCATTACCCCTGGACACTAAATGGTGCTACCATCACTGCATCTCCTGTTATCAACATCCTCGCGGTTAGTGCTGACCACAAACTCGGCTGGAATAACCATACAAAGGCATTGGCTACAAACGTCACAGAATGTTTCCTAAGAGACTAACTTGACTCCCCAAAGCCTGTCCACCATCTAAAAAAGCACAAGTCAATGTGTCTGGATGAGTGCAGCTCCAACAACATTCAAGAAGCTTGACACCCTCCAAGTAAAAGTAGCCCGCTTGACTGGCATCCCATTGACAAACATCCAGTGCCCCTAGCACTGATGCTCAGTAGTAGTACAAACCAAAAACAACATGTACAACACAGAAGTTCTCCCAAGCTTCTTAGATGGCAGCCTCCAACAACCCTCAAACATTTTCGTCCACAAGATCAAGGGCAGCTGATATATGGGAACATCACCACTTGCAAACTCCCCTCCAAGCCATTCACTACTCTGAAGAAACAGCAAGATATTTGTAAGTTAGTGCAGATAGGTCAAAATCCTGGTACACTCTCCCTCTCAACATTGACAGTTTACCTATAGTGCATGGACTGCAACAGTTTTATAAGGCAGTTCACAGTTCACCACAGATTCCTCAAGGGCAACGAGGGATATGCAATAAATATTGGTCCAGCCAGTAATGCCCACATCCCGCGATTGAATAAAACAAAGAAAATCGAGGCCAAATCAGTGATTTCTAAAGGTTTCCAATGATTTCCTTGCTTTTGTGTTATATACTTCTATTTAAATCGAGCCCAGGATCCCATTTGCCTTTTAAACTGCTTTCTCAACTTGCCCTGTTACCTTGCAACAATCAGTACACATGTGTTTCCAGGGTTCACTGTTTTAGCACCTCTTTTGCATTTGGACACTACACTTTGCACTTCCTCTCATTTCTAACATCAAAATCTTCTCACTTCTCTGCATTAAATCCCACACGCCTGATTTCACCAGTCAACATGTTTTTGAAGTCTACCACCATCTTGATCAAACAGTTCATAATACTAAAGTATCATGTCATCTGTAAATGTTGTTATTGTACCCTGCACAATGAAATCCACATCATTAACACAGCTGCTTTTCTCAATCTATTTTCTGTCACTGAGCTAACTTCATGACGCCACTGTCCCTTTTATTCCATGAAGTTCAACTTTGCATTATGTGGCACTTCACTTCTCTTTTTGATGTTCTTATGCATACCAACCTTCTGTTACTTTATCAAAAAACCCAATCCATATAGTTAAACAGGATCTGCCTTTCACAGAGGTGTGTTATCCGCACTTGTCCTGTTAACTTTGTCTCTTAGTTTCTAAAATGCCTCCACAGAGGTGACATTAACTGGCTTGTAGTTGCTGGTTTTAAATTTTTCCAAAGTAGCATTTGCCATTCTCCAGACCTTGGCACTAACAGGAAAATTAGGGCCAGGACCACCTTAATTTTCACCCTTACTTCCCCAGCATCCTCAGATGTATCCCATTCGGTCCTGGTGACTGATAACGAAGTACAGCCAGCATTTCTCACACAACAGCTTTTTTTGTAACAGCACCTTGAATGCCACTGCAGCATTATAAAGTACAGTACTCTGCAGAGCCACAAAGGAGATGTGATCAAATGGCCAAAGGCTTGGTCAAAGACATGGTTTTGAGGAGAATCTTAACTGGAGGAGAAAAGTGGAGAGGTGTAGATAGAAAATTCTTGAGTTTGTGGTCGACAAACTGAAAGCATGGTTACTGATGCTGCAACAAAGACGACTGAAAACGTTCAAGAAACTTCCTCTTTAGCAATTTTTAGCCATTCCAGCATGTCAACTACCTCCCCTTTCACTATGTCTGTGCATCTGTCTTCATGCTGCAGCTACAGTGCTTCTGTAGCACCTCAACAATGCTTTCTTCCTCCACATCTGGATCGCCTTTGGGGCAGCTTACCAGCCCCACCGTGCTGACTGCTCATTTGGTATTTACAAGCACACATATCACACAGAACTAATGATACACATATTGTGTGGAAACAATGTAGCACCTCCTATTATAATGACATTTGTCCTCCATTTACAAGCCTTATTCTGCACAAAACTGACTAGAGCTTATTGTAATGCACTGCCACAGGTCTCACTGAGGTCAGAAGATTGTTGGTTGTAGCTCAACTCCAGACAACAGCACAATTTGGTCTGCCACTCCAGGGAATCCCAAGGAAGGTGCTGTCTTTTAGTTTTGTTAAACCCAGTGCCCTTCAGCCCACTTAGCTGGACAGAAAGGATCCCATAGTACCTGTGAGCCAGCTGGTATTTTTAAAAATCAGTCTGATAGCAGGTTTCCTGACATCTAGGCCAGAAGTCAGCCTTGAATCGATGTCTGTATGACAATTCAACTGGTCAAGGTCTTACGGCTTCTTGGAGAGACCAACACTGTGCACCAACTGACTGTCTGTATTCTATACATTACAATGTCTACATTTCAGAAGTGTTTTGTCCTTAAGAGCACTACATATGTCCAAGTACTTTGTGTAAGTGGACCAAAACAACTTACACAAGGCTTAGATAATCAATTGTGCTCTTTCATAGATGTATTCATGGAATAAATTGACCCTAGATGCTCTGTACAATGTAACGTACCTCCGTTTTGTTATATATTAGCTGAGACACTTGGTTTTGCCTTCATGATTCGGGATTCTTAAGAGGAAAGTTCAACAGTTGTCATTCTTTAAAATACACTTTACTGTCAAGTACTTTGCTGATCCTTTAGATTTTGCTGACAATGTTTATGTAGGGTCGCAGCTTCTGCTCAAGTTATGGATTCTCCATTATGAGGTGGTAAGCATGGCATGAATTTGAAAATAAGCAGTCATCTCACTATACTCAGAGTGAAATACTGCAGATGCTGGAAACCTGAAGCAGGAAATGCTTCAAACACTCATGAGGTCAAGAACCACAATTTAGGTAGAATCCCTACCATTTGCACCATCGAATCCACACTGACCTTCCAAACAGCATCCCACCCAGATCCACCCTCCCCAACCTATCCCCATAACCTCGTATTTCCCATGGCTAATCCATTTAATCTGCACATCTGTAGACACTGAGCAATTTATCAACGGTCAGTCCACCGAACCCACATATCTTTGGACTGTAGGAGGAAACCAGAGCACCTGGAGGAAACCCAGACAGACATGGGGAGAAGGCCCGTGTGCAATCTGTACAGTCACCCGAGGGTGGAAGTGAACCCGGGTCCCCAGCGCTCTGAGGTAGCACCGTGCCACCTTGCACGTGAATGGCGGTTCCAATTCTAAGTGAAGAAACTAAGTGAATCTGGGATTCCCATCGGAATCAATGGTAAACTCAGAATTAAGCTCCTTGGTACATATCTCATCAGGTAAAAATACAAAAGGTAAAATTTCAAACACTAAGAAATATTTGCAGTGCTGTTCATTCTTAGCTGGACTGACTTGCAAAATAAAACACAAATAAAACAGAAATACAACACACTCAAAATGAGCTACCACCCTAAATAACTTAAGCATATAGACCTGCAGGTCTGAATCTACTTCTGCCCCGCCTTTAGAACTGGACCCTTTATTTTGTCTTTGTGTTTTTCTACCAAAAAAATCATTAAATTTCATATTCTATTTGTCTGAGTATTCTACCAATCTGCCCATGCTCTTTTGAAGATCAACATCATCCTCCTCAGACAGTTCACAACACAGAGGTTTTGGATCATTTGTAAATTTTGAAATCTTGCCGAGGATGAGACCATATACAAATATAGATACACCAGAAAGCGCTGGTGAACATCATTATAAATGTTTCTATAATCCAGAAACGTCCATTCAGCAAGCAACTTTCCAGCTCAGCCAATACTGTATCCATGTTACGACTGTCTCTTTAATTCCACGATTTCTATCTTTGCTCACAGGTTTGTTGCGTGGTACTTGATCAAATGCCTTTTGGAAATCCATGCACAGCAATCAACAGCATTATCCTCATCAGCCTTCTCTGTCACCTCACCGAAGTTTCAAGCAAACTAAATAATCAATGTTTTCCTTTAATAAACCACATTGGCTTTTCTCAATTACCCTGCAAGTAGCCATGTATTTTGTCCCATATTATGGTTGTCAGAAACCTCCCCACCAAATGTCAATCAGGTCAGTTCACAGACTTCTACGTCTTCAACAATAAAGCCCCCTTACACTAACAACTTTGCTGATCACTCCACGTGTTCTGTCTTGTAGATTTACAAGGAACATTGCTCAATTTTTCAGTAGTTCTTTCCTTTTGGTCCTATGGAGACCAGATTTCTGCTTATGAAGTCTCCTCAAGGAGATCAAAAGTTTATTCCTTATTCAAAATGTGCGCGTAGCCAATCAAAGTCATTGGCAAGTTGACAGAGTTTAGTTCAGTTGAAAAATTTCAAATAGGCCTAAAATGTCAAGTTATCAATTCCCAGACCAGGAGTCCCTCATGTTGCTGAATGATTACCCAGATGGTACTCACTCGGGACGAATAGCTGACCACTTGTCCCGCAACGTCCACGCATACTGGCAAGGAGGCACACGTTCATCTTCCTCTTCCTCCTCCTCGCTGTCCTCAGACCAGTCTAGCCCTGTAGACAAGAAGAATGTCATCTCATTGAACCCAAGGTAGGATGCAAAGCATTATACTGGAGATCCATGGAAAGGTTTTCCAAGTGATATTGAAGGGGAAATGTGGGATTAACACCCGGTGTAGTGCAGGGAAAACCCTAAATCATTTTTTAAAAAAATGGAAAACAAAAGTGTGACGCTTAAAGAGTTTCTAGACACACAACCCAAAGAACAAAAATCTTCCTTATCCACATACAACTAGAGTCTCAGGCTCCTTTAACAGCACAAACTGACCCCAATAGCAACTGCCCTCCTTTTATGATGAAGTCTAACTATCTGATCAAACACCAAACATTCATCTCAAGAAATACTATTCACACCAACAACTGCTTTCACTGACACACACTGCACTGTCAGGACGCTGTCCCCTTCAACACACAGAGCCCTAGAATTACACCAACTTCAACGCACATACTGAGCCCTAGACAGTCAGTCAGTCTGTTTTATTGCACTGACCCAGAGTATTACTGTCCTCGTTAACACACCGATTCAAGTGCTACCGACCCTGTGCATTTGTGTCTTCATTCACATGGATTCCTGAAGTTACCCACTACGTTAATAGATCCTAGAGATCATCACTGATCCTCAGACTTTCTAACCCTTCAACGCACACGCAGACCCAAGTCACTGTGGTTTGACTAGTGCCTTACGTAGTTTTAGCAAAACCTCCCTACTTCTATACTCCATTTACTTTGAAATAAAAGCCATCTTTTCATTTGCCTTTCCCCTCATCCACTGAACATATACGCTAGCTTTGTGTGGCTCATGCTGTGCCACCTCCAAGTCTCAGTGATGCAGTTTTCCCCCAGTTAAATCATACTCGGCTCTTCTAGTCTTGCTGCCAAAGCATACAACCTCACTATCCCACATAATATGCCAACTGTCAAGTTTCTGTCCACACAACCTGTCTATATCCCAATGCAGACTTCGTGCCATCTTAGCTACTTGCCCTCCCCCCTATATGCTGGAAAACAATCATCCAACATTTTAATATATACTGTAAATAATCGTGGTCTGAGGATTGATGCCTGTGCCACTCCACTAATTACATGCTGTCATACTGAAAATGCCCCCTTTAACCCAACTTGGTTTACAATCGTTAGACATAAGCTTATCCACGCAAAAATACTACCCCACCACTATGGGTTCTTACCATATTAAGTAGCCTTGTGTACTTTGAAGAGTCCCCATCTTCCTTAACACACTGACCTCAAGTTACTGTGTCCTTTAACAGTAGTCCCAAGAGTTAGTACATACAAACATGGAATAGGAGTAGATCCTTTTGCCCCTCAAGTCTGCCCCACCATTCAAGATCTATCCCAATAACCCTCAATTCCCCTACCTAACAAGAATCCATCTGGTTCTGTCTTGCAAGTATTTAATGACCCTATCTCCACCACCTTGAGGTAGACTGCTTCAAAGAACCACACAAAACTCAGCGAAAAGAAGATTTCCCAACATGTGTCTTGAAACAATGACTCCTAATTTTCAAACTGTGCCCTCTAGTTCTAGGCTGCGCCACAAGAGGAACCATCCTTTCAACATCCAACTGAAGACCAATCAAGATCTTCTGCACTTCAATCAAGTCACCCCACTCTTTTAAACCGTAAAAGAGCCCAGTTAGTCAGATGATTGGTCAGAATGTAAACAACAGCAGTGAACAAGTGAAAGCTTAATCAGTAGGAAAATATTCGAGTATGAGCAGAAGCAGCTAGCTTGGAAATGTAAAAATGCATAGCAAGAGTTTCTACAGATATTTTAAAAAAGGAATAGAATAAGTAAAGTAAGCTTGTTCTTTTTAGAGGGTGAGAATGAAAAATTAATAGCAGATTATGCTCTGAAATGAACAAATATTTTGCTTCTGTCTTCACTTTATAGAGGATACAACAAATATTCCAGTGATAGCTATAAATCCTGGGAGGAGAGAGAAAAACTGGGACAAAATTACAACCATGAGGGAAGGTACTAAGCAAATTGAGGGAACTGTGGGCTAACAGCATGTTAGTATGCAGGCACAGCACATATTCACGGCGGCGATTTGAGGTGCTATCCTTTATGAGAGAATCAAATGTAAAAGGAAGATGTTACGTTTCCAGTTATATAGAGCGTTGGTGCGACCAGTTGTTGAAGACTGTTTGTGTTTTGAGCTCCCGATCTAAGGAGGAATATAAATGCATTGGAGGCAGTTCAGAGGACGTTTCCTAGCTTGTTAACCACATGGCACCAGGGGTTCTTACCCAGGCCTGTTCATTCATCACTGTCTCCTCTAACACACTGACCTCCACGTTCTCCCTATGCCGTTGGTGCTGACATGGATCATGGCCATTGGATCCTACCCCTTTCACTACAAGTTCCTTTCCAGCACTGAGTAAATGACTGGAACTGGGCAGATTACACAGCTGTCTAAACTCTCACTGTTTTCTACAGAGAAGTGTCAATCCTCCCTCATTATAATAACAATTACTATTCTCCTTGTTGCCCTCCACTCAAACAGCTTCCTGTACCATCGTGGCATTGTCAAGTTTGCCCATCAACCATGCAAACCCTACTCTCATCAAAACAGGCTGAAAGAAGCTCAACACTGTTCGTCAGTTACAGAGGTTGACACCCCTGCATTTCTGTCCTATGGGTCTAATAATCAACATCACTCACAGTAACACCCTCCTATCCCTGAGCAATGACTAAATCAAAAGACCGTATCATAAGTGGTGTGACTGTCTGCTGGTATAAGGTATCCAGATACAGTCTCCCTCCCTGATGGATGTCTGTCTGCTGTTCTGTCCCAGCTCAAACACCAAGCTGAAGCTGTTAGAACTTCAAAGTCTCACCTCGGGTATCAAAAAGGTACCCATGAGCTCCCATTTGCCGCTGCCTTGACATCACCTGAACTGTCATCCTTAGTCGGTTTGATTTGTTTAGTTATATTACTCCACTTACTTCTGTTGCCTTTGCATCTTTTATTAAATTTACCAATTTGTATACAACATTAATATTTAAGAACAGAAAAAATTTTAAACACTCAACAGAGACTCACCTAACAGCTTGTTCCTCTCTCGGTAACACAGCAAAAACTAATTTCACTCAGCTCCAGTGAATCTAACGCTGTCTCTGACTGCATATCATACGGGGTGCTGACCAGGCCTGCTCATTTGTCACCGTCTCCTCTAACGGACTGATGCTGAGAGGTGCTGTCTCTTTTTAACGGAGAGACTAACCTCTTTACTGCAATGACCCCCATGTCTCTCCTTTCATGCACTGATCAAGAGAATCTCTCTATCATTTAAACAGGCAGACGCCAGACACCAGCCTTTCCCCTAACACACAGACTGATGACGTCAGTGTATTAGTGGAGGCAGTCTCCTTCAAAACTTGCGAAGAGTCATTTGGAATAGACTTTCTACTGCCCACACAGGCACTGATCATACAGATAAACGTTTCATATGGGGACCCTGAGAAGCCCCCATGTTAGCATGCTCCAAAGGAACTGCATGGAAATTTTTTTTATTTTACACACAATAATTCCTTTATGCTAGGACCCTTCCAAAAGTCTCTATTTAATTCAGAAAGTTCATCTGGTCCCGATGGAATTAGGTAAAATAGCTACTCAGACATTATACTATTAAATACATAGTCTTCCCCAAGCCTTTTACACACACACACACCCCTCCTACCCCCACCCCCAATATTGGTTACTGATGCAACCATCCGTCTCCTCTACCTCTGGACCCAACCTAAACCATTCCCTACCATATCAACCGAATTATTCATCCTACCTCATTGGCACTGGCCTCTTCAATTACTGTCTCCTGAAACACACACTGCCCTGCTAGTTACTGTAACCCTTAACACGCTGTCCATGAAGTACTGTCTCCTTTAATGCTCACACACTGATCCTGCAAATTAATATTTTAGTTGTTTTGATGACACAAGAGTGATAATTTCTTTTAATAGCACAGTGTGATCCTGTCGGATTTGAATCTACACTGGGGACACAAAATTATTCCCTCCTTTAACACAGAGACCAGAGTTATATTTATTTTCTTAATAACACGCTAACCCCTGGAGTTACTGTCTGCTTGAACACAGTGTTGCTGTGTTAAAGGAGTCGACCATAAGGCATAGGAGCAGAAATTAGGCCATTCAGTCCATCAAGTCTGCTCCGCCACTCAATCATGGCTGCTAAGTTCCTCAACCTCATTCTCCTTCATTCTCCCTGTAATCCTTGATCCCCTTGATAATCAAGAACCTATCTATTTCAGTCTTAAATGTACTCAATGACCTGGCCTTCATAGCCTTGTGTGGCAGTGAATTCCATAGATTCACCACTGTCTGGCTGAAGAAGTTTCTCCTTATCTCCGTTCAAAAAGATCTTCCTTTATTACACTGAAACCTAGGAATACCTATTGGACTTAGAGACCTCAGCATGTTTAACGTGTTGGAAATTGTAACTCTGACTAGAATAGAGTGTGGCTTATGCTTGATATGGGCACCTGCCTTGTAGTGGGGAGATTACTGCATCCCAGAGTTACTGATACTTAATAATTGCAGTTGCCATCTCACGTGACTTTGTTGTTCACTAAGTTTCTGCGCTGTTAACCTATATGTACAGAAAATGTGCTACAAAACCATAGCATGAAGCCAAATGGGGCTTCCATGCTTCAAACACACATTAAGGTCAGTTCGACAGTAAACGTAGCCAGTCACAAAAATAAACACATTAATAATAACACCTTTCATGATCTCACGATGCCCTAAGCTCGTTAGAGTCAACGAAATAGTTTTGAAATGTCATCACTGTTGCAGTGTCAGAAACATAGTAGCTAATTTGCGCACAGCAAGATCCTAAAAACAGTGGATGAACCAGTTTTTTGGAAGCGATCTTGATTTGGGGATAATTATCAGCCAGGGCATCAGGCAGATTTCCATTATTTAGCTTCAACTATCACCTTAGGATATTTTGCTTTCAACCGCAAGATCTCAATTTAACATCATGACTTAAACGTCACATCTGCAAGGTTAGTACGGTGAAGGATTTCTTGCTCAAGTCAGCAGCTGATTGCTAAGTATTTTACAACCCATTGGTTCATGAAGACTCATCCTAACGTGGAGATTTTACTATTTCCTACCTTTGGAGATAATATTTTTCCTTCTTTCACCTCTAAGAAGTTTTGATTTTTGTTATTAATTACATTCAGCAGTATCGCAATGTCACACAGCAAGAACCATTTGGCCCATGTCTGTGCCATCCGTTTTAAAGAGTTATCCATAGAGTCCTAACCCCACTATGGTTTTCCCAAAGCCTTTGTAATTCTCTTCCTTTTTTTAATGTACATTCTGTTTCCTTTTGGAAGTTGCTATTGGATCTGCTTCCACTCACTATCTTTCAAGCCACGAACGCTTCATCTATTATTCTAGGTAGGAAATCTGAAAAGAAGAATGCACGCTTAAGCCACAGTGCAAACCGCTACCCCAAACAGCTCTGCATTTAGCTTTTGACTGTCCGTCATGAAGTGACTTCACAAAATTGGCTCCACTACCACAAAATGGGTGGTAAGAAAAAAAAAAGGGCACTGGTATAATGTGATTAGGCATGGCAAACACCAAAAGACGAGTTTCTTTCCCCCCCCGTCAACATGGACTGCATTGCCCATGGTCATTCACGGAAAAGCTTCCCTATGAAGGAGCTCACATTTAACATGCTTTTAACTTTTCCAAACAAAAATACAGCAGCACTGATTACTGCCATTCTTATCACAAGCACGTAAGTGTGGAATGCAATATTCTCTAAAACGTCTGCCACTTATTACTTCTGACAACAGCGTCAGCTCTTTCAACGCTTTCTCAAATAGCATCAGGATGAAAAGGTTCTATAACAACACACTTCAGCAAGTCCCAAATCATTTCACAGCTAATGAAGACGTTTTCTTTTTTGCAACATAGCAGATGTGTTGACCACTTCGCACACTATAAAGTCTCATGGGCAACAACGGGCTAATCAGAAGTGTTTTTGTCAGAAGAAACCTGATTATATTTTACATACAAGCTTCTCAAACATGTTCTACCCATCACATCGTGATGTCTGTCCAAGTACAAGCATTTACAGCACAGAAGAAGCCCTTTTGTGCCTGTGCCTGTGCCAAATCTGACACAAGAATCCTGGACAACCTTCTGCGTTGAATATTTATATAAAGTGTTCCCTCAAACTACGCAATGGTTTCTGTTTCAACCATACCCTGTGAAAAAGCATACACTTCAACCCAACAGCTGTGTAAAAAGAAGATTTCACTTGAACACTGCATCCTGAAACAAAAGCCAGTACACTGTCAGAACAAATCACATGGTGGAATCACTATTATACATGAGGTGTCACCCCGTGGCAAACTGGCCACACCTCTGACAGGCCACACTGTCTTGCTCTGGCCATTAACAGTGAACAAGGAAACACTATTTGCAATTCGTACAAACAACACAAACAATTCAACACAAATTGTGGACAAACAAAGTGGGTTGTGGTGGCAACGTCTGTCTGGTTATCAGAAAATAAATTATGGCACAGGATAAAACAGGTGAGGAAGAAAAAAGTGAAGAAAATAAAAATTAATGAAGAAACACATTGACAGTAAATTGCTTCGACTTGTCACTCATGACTTGGTCATTCCAATGCTCTCATTGCCAGTCATACAACTAACCCCCTCCGTAAATGTAAGCTGGATCAAAACTCTTCTTTGTCTATCGTAACAGCCACCTGTTCACCTAGCACCTGTGCTTGCAGATCTCCAATGGTTCCTGGGCCAATAACGCCTCAATTTTCAAAGGCATATCTTGGTTCAAAATTCCCTCCACGGCTTCATCCCTTCCATCTCTGTGATCGCACCATGCAACCTTTTTGAGATACCAGTGCTCATCTAATTCTAGTTTTCTGCACATCTCCAACTGTCACTGCTCCATCATCAGTACCCCTACTCTGGCCTTCACATTCAGAATTTCTTCCATCTCTCTAAAGTTGGTATTTGCCAATGGTAAAATGAACCAGGTTTCCAACTCCCAGCCATACACTGGGGTAGGTGTTGGATGTGAACAAAATTAAGCATTTGAGATGCACCACATCCCCCTCCCCCCAAACCCCATCCCCAACATCTCAACCACCACCTCACTTGTCGTCTTAATACATGAATGGTAGCCATTTGTAAAAAGACTGCACTTTAGGGACCAGATTATATTCAGAAGTTGACATCTTCAATGGAGTGCAGAAGGTGAGAAACAGAGGACAGCGCATCTGGGAGGAGCAAATCAATTCAAAAGGAAACATTTGAATTTACATAGAATATACAGCACAAAATCAGCCTAACAGTTTTCTGCCAGTGTTTATGCTCTATGCCAGTCTTGTATCCTTCTTCAGCTCATCTATTTACATAACCCTTCTCTTCCTTTCAGTCATACAGTGGCAGAATTTCAAACTTGTTGATCAAGAGGCGTACAGCCAAAGCCTTTCAAGGTTTTAGCAATGCAACTCCTTTTTCAGCAATATTATGTTTCTTTCGTTCTCATGTACAAGGCCAGCTTCCTCTTAAACATATCTAGTCAGTTCACCTAAACCATTGCATAATATAGCAAGTCCCACATTTAAACCACTGTGACTGAAGACGTTTCTCTTGAATTCCTTATTGGATCTATCATAGAATTCCTATCATGTGGAAGCAGGCCATTTGGCCCATTGGGTCCAGACCGACCTCAAACAGCATCCCACCCAGTGCCAACCCCCTACTGCATCCCTGTAACCCTGCATTTCCCGTGGTCAATCCACCTAAGTTGCACATCTTTGGACTGTGGGAGGAAACTGGAGTACAGATACAGGGAGAATGTGCAAACTCCATATTGACAGTTGCCCGATGGTGGAAGAGGACATGCATCCCTGGCACTGTGAGGCAGCAGCGCTGACCAGTGAGCCACTGTGCCGCCCCAAGTAAATATTTTTAAATGGTAATTATTCCAGACCAACCAACCCTCCAAAAATAAAAAAAATCAGTGGGAACCTTTTCTGTACATATACCCATTAAATCCTTTCAAAATCAGAAAGATTTTACAAGATCACATCTCAGCCCTATCCTGAGTGGAGAAAAGAGCCTCAGTTTGTTTAATCTTTCCTGGTAGTTATAACCTCCGTTCTGAGGTGACGCTTGCAGGCCAACTAGTACCCATACTGTTTTTGTCATAGGGACACAAGAACTTGGCTTAATTTATTAAGTGCCGCTCATTTTTCACAGATTCAACTTGGTTACCCAAGCAATTACTTGACTGACATGATAAAGGGTTGCATTTTTAGCAAAAGTAGATCATTAAACATCTCACACACTCCTACCTAGATGTGGGAAGAGATCCCGGTGCAACAGCTGTTTTTCAGCACAGAGCTTTGCTAGTCTCTGTAACCTGTTCCTACAGGCTGACCGCTGCCTGCAGACTGGCGTGGATCTTGAAGCCTTGAGGACAACGACATCAGGCCGGGGAGAGTCTGTTGCCACGGTGACAGGTGGGGGTAGGGTCGCAGCTGGCTGTGCCGGGGATGGCATCTGCTGTGGTGGTGAGGCAGACCGGTGGGCCTTTCCGTTTGGCGAGTGCGAGGCTGGCGTTGTCGTAACTATGCCATGGGATGATGCTTGCGGCAAGCTGGGAGTTGGGGGTGCAGGCGGAGGGGGTTTGCATAGCAGGCCCTGCGAAAGTCCAGCGGGTCGGGGGGGACTCGAGAGAGGGGGAGTGCCAGGGTACAGCAGCCGTGATGGTGCAGTATGTGGGATAAAGTGCTCTGATTGCAGTCTGAATGTCTCAGGCTCTCGCAGCAGTCGTTGCTGCTGCCGATTCTGAGCCAGTTTGGTCTGAAGCTTCCGTTTGACAGTCCCTTTCCGCAGCAGGTAGTCATCATCGTCAGGGAAAGCGAATGGATCGTCGAGCTCGTGCTCCAGGTACTGGAGCGTCAGTCGGGGCCGCTGCGGGGATCGTGTGGGCCCATCCAAACCATTTGCTGCCTTCAAGGCCAGCGAGGGCACTGCCAGGCTGACTGCCATGGTAGCATCAGGGTGCAGTCTGGGACGCACCTCCTCTAGCTGCTCATTCTTTTTCTTCCTCTCCTTTTTGGGCACCAAACCAAGGACTTGCAAGTGGCTGTTGCAGTATCTGTTAGAGAAGGATGAAACAATCAGCACAGCAAGGCAATTACCAATAAAACATCAAGGACAACACTTCTTCCGGTCAGCTCCCATATCCTCCAACAACTGGGGCCAGAACCATGTTATCATTGAATATAAATATTCCAACAGCGCTTAGTTCTCATTTGAGATTTCAGCAGCAATAGGTGAGAGAAAGTTTCCTGTTGTATCCACTTGAATTATGGAAAACATTCAGGAATACAATCACAATTCTCTCCTCCTGCCTTCAGTCATGGCTAGAGAGTTTTATGAATTGGATAAGGTTCCAAACTTGATAATAGAAATGATACAGAAATTAGCCACGTGGGTCCACCAAGTCTGTACGAGGATATATGGCCCATTTAACTTTTGCCTATCTTGTTTCATCTAACTCCATCAATGTAGTCTTCTGTGCCTTTCCTCCTCATGTGCTTCCAGCTTCCCATTCAGTCTATCTATGCTGTTCACTCCATATATGTGGTCCTACAGTCTCAACACTCCCTAGGTAAAGATATCACTAAACTCACTGCTCGACTGATGAATAGCTGTCTTAGATTTATGGCCCCACATATGGATTTGCCCACAAATGCACAAATGGAAAAAAATTCTGAGTCTTAATAATCTTGAACTCATGTGTCATGTCACAACTCAGCTTCTTCTTTTCCTCAGCAAGAGGGAAATCTTGCCTGGACATCATTTGTGTTCGCAAAAGTTTTATATTATTCTGGCATAACATTACTTCATTAACATGTTATTTTTGTTGCCGCAAACAAAGGACCGAAAAATAATTCTGCAATATTATTTTCAAGTGTCTACTTAGAGCTAAAATGGGGGACAATGTTGAAGTGCGCTAGCATTTGTAGAAGGCCCCCATTCAGAAAGATCTGCAAAATCCTGCAGGAGAGTGAGGCATTGCTGAATATGGGGAAAACCTGGGAGGTAGAAAAGCTGGTCTAAAAATTTAATCCTTTTAAAATGTGTTATGTAATATAGAAGTAACATGGACAACGAACGACCTTGGATAAGCAACTCCAGAACACGAGGGAAAGAAAGACTTCTCTATATGCTTTGCAACTTTGAGAGGAGTTAAGCAGGGAGAAAGGTGCAATTACATACTGGTGGATGAATATGCAAATAGCACTGACACTCGAGCTGCACGACAGAGTGGTACAGTGTAGGTGTGGACATCAATGCAAGAAACGTTTTCAACAAAGCACCATTGGGGTATTCACATGATCTGCGTGAACAGGATAGGTGAAAGGGACAAAATAAAATGGGTAGAATTGTGTTGCAAGCTGAACAACTGTAAAATGGTGTTCATGTACTGGTAAAACAAGAGGCAGAGGGCCAGCCCTATTAGCTAGCAGTGGACTAGAGGTGAAGAACAGACACAGATTAAACATGTGGTGGTCCAATCAAAACTCTCAGCTCCGCCAATTGCTGAGGACTGAAATGACAGACTGTGATTAATAAATTGCTCCAAGTTTTGCGATCTCTCAGGAGTGAGTTAATCACAAAGCATGGACACGCTGCTCAATATGAGAGATCAGTGCATGATCTCTACTTCAGAATAGCTAATTGTCAAGTTCACCATTACTCCAGGCAAACGGTTATTTTCCTCAGAAACAGGCTTTTTATTTCTCAGTAATATTAGGATTTCACTTTTGACTTTTACTGCTGCTACTAGCTATAGCTTACATGTTATCAAACAAATAAAAAACAATTACAGGAATGCTTGCAAGATTTAAATTCACTTCAGCCTTGCAGGAGGCCATTATCTCATAACTTGAAATGGAATTCCAAACACAGAGGGCAACATTGGCTTTATAACAGATGCAAACCTCTTTTTTTGGGAGGGGGGGGGCAGGGTTCCCTCAATAACTGTTTATGAATTGCCCTTGCCATCTCTTCTTTCCCTAATAGACAATTCCCCATCACTGCTGCCACTGCAAGTTTTCAGTTCTCATTCTGCAGGTTGAAGTGCAGTCCAAGGTGGAGTTCAAGTAGGTGGTGAGAATAAACTTGTCAATTAATAGACTGGACCAATCCATCAGCCAGTGTGTCGACTGTCAGCCTGTCTCATTTGACCAGTGAAAGAATGAACTGGCACGTCAACACAGAATATGTCTCCACCTATAGGAAACAAGATATGGCCATGGTGCTTTTGTTTAAATGCAAGAACACATACACTGGAATTGCCTCTCAAGCGGTCAACTCAATCATGGATATTCCCTGTGTGTCTTGCTGGCTCCCCATAACGCTTGGCTCTCTTTTAGATCCAGACGTGTTTAATTGAACCATGGATATATTCACTAATTCAAACTCTGCTATTTGAGGAAAGAGAAATTCCAAGGTTAAGCACCATCTGTATTAAATAGGAGATTCCCTATTTTGAAACTGTGCCCCCAGTTCAAGACTCCCCCGTGAACATACTGTCAGCAGCTATCATGCCAAGCACCCCCACCTCAGAACATGATGTTATTCCATTAGATCAGCCCTAACTTTTCTGAATTTCAATCAGCAGAGACCCAATGCGCTCAACTTATAATTTATATGAAGAATGATTAAATTTGCCATGGGGATCCCTGGAGCAGTATCAGTGCTCAACTTGCTGAGTTGTGTCAAGGAGCCCCATAGGGACAAACTGGCTCTGTGCTGAGAGATTCGATTGGATCAAATCTTTACTGACTCAAAATTCCTGGGGGAAACTACTTCCTTTCAGCTTTCCAAGGAAGCACTGGGGAAGTAATTGACATACAATTCCCATAACCACCAAGAACCGTCCATACCGACGGCACCAGCCATTGGCTTAAGTTTATAAGTTTCTGCCCACATATCTTCCTACAAACTTACGAGAGGTAGGTTCCTGATCCCTTTGAGCCTGCCACACAATAAGATCATAGCTGATGTGATAGTCATCAATAGTACTTCCTGCCTTTTCCCCATAACCTTGGTTCCCGGACAGATTAAAAATCTCTCAGCCTTAAATATACTTAAATGACCCAGCTTCAACTGCTCTGTGGTAAATCATTCCAGAGATTCTCAACCCCTAGAGAAGAAATTCCCTCACATGTATTTTAAACGTGAGACCCTTTATTCTGAGATTATGCCCTCTGACCTTAGAGTGTGCAAGATTGTGCATCCACTGCCTTTTGAGGTAGGGATACCAAAGACTCTCAACCCCGAGGTAAACGTTTACCTCATCTCTCTTAAGTGGGCCATCCCTTACTGTTAAACTCTGACCGTGAAACTGATCTTGGTTATGATGAGATGGCTACAGCAAAGAACAGACACATAGATCACCGTGAACCATCTGCTGGTTTACCAACTGTACCAGGAAAGGCATGGGAAGCATGGTACAGCACCCCCTAAAGTTCAGTTCGCGACGTCCTAAAATATTTGTGGAACACTATCTCAGCACTAACAGTGATCTTGGGAAGAGGAGGAAAATATGGTCACCTGGTAGTTCAGGAATATTCAAGTTGTGAAAAAATAAATCGCTATGTCCAAGCTTTACGTGTTGCAATCATCAGGACACAATCACAAGAATATCAAACTCCAAAAACGGAATGAAAATTTATACTCGAAAAGCAGCAATATACTGTGGATGCTGGAAATCTGTAGTCCTGAAGACGAATCATTTCAGACTTGAAACAGTAACTCCCCACAGATGCTGTCAGACCTGTCGTGTTTCTGTTTTAAACAGCTTGTACAGCATAAGGCGGCGCTGATTGTTGGCAAATGGACTCTAGTTAGTGAAGGCAATGTCGGGGGAATGCTCACCAAATGGTAGTCACCATTCTCTCGTTTAAAAGGTTCAATGCATGGACGTGTCCTTTCTGGTGGTTAAAAGACAAGGTCCTGCATGTGAATGTGGGTTCTCTCACACAGCGTGGCACTGTGCCTTTTTCAACTTTGAAAAAAGGCTCAGAGGGCAGTCACTTCCTGTTACATTCTCCAAGGCAATGCCTTGACACGTCCATTTGCTCGACAGTACAAACTGATATCCCCTTGGAGCTTTGTTATCTTGCAATTCTGTCCTGTTGAATGCAAGACAAAAAGCTTCAACAGCATATCTTCTTTTCATGCCTTGCTCAACAGGAAAATAAAAAGACTTCCACCTTTTCTCATCTCACATCACCCACAACTCAGAATTGAAACACTGTACCAACGACGCCACTGCTTGTGGTTAGGCACAGTTCCATATAAAAAGTGACAAAAGAAAAAAGGGGATTTGTGATAATTTGATTACAAACAGATCACATAGTGGCAGAACCTCACTACCAATGAAATAATTACAAACATTGGCACGTAAATAAAGTCAGATTCTATCTACCTCACTTGAACCTTTTTTTAAAACAGCATTGATGCTATGTAGTCTGAGAAACTGAAGAAACTAATTTTAACTCAACTCACCAGATGGGGAACCCACATTAAGATGATGAACATCATCTTTACACCTTTGTCCAATGTTACCTTCTACTGGTTAGAACAAGGAATAAAACTGTGTGGCTGATTTTGTTTAACTTGCTCACAGTACACTGGCTTCACCGGAGAGATCCAGCCTTTACTGCCTAAACGCAACTGCCATCTACATGATGCTAGTGGTAAATCATCACCTTAAACGGTTACAGTCCTGTCTGAAAGCAATGTTATACTCAATCTCATCAGTTTCCAGACTACCGATATGTTTAAAATTATGGCCTCCCACTGTTTACCCAATTCAAAAGGTTGACTTGCCTTCGGTCTTCAGATTTTGGGATAGGATTCGTGCACCGCTGGCTGTTGTACTTGGCTACAAATTCACATTGCTTGAAAGGGGCAGTTTTGTCCTCCAGAACGTGGCGAATGCAGAATGCGTAGCCGTTGAGTCGGCGCTGTTTGCAGAGCTTGGGGCTGTAGGAGCACAATGGCTTGTTATCGACCTCTGAGAAGTGTATGTGTTTGCCTTCATACATCACGTGATTCTTCTCCTTGTGAACATCAGCTATAGACAAAAGGGCAGAGTGTCAGATGCATGCTGCGATTAAGAGAAGTGCAGTCGGGGCAATAACACTGCATCAATCGGAGGGGGAAAATGATGCACACCCACCAATGTGTTCTCCCTAAGACGCGCCTCCATGGACATCTACAGCCCTTTATCAGCCGATCCAAGTTGCTCACCTTTGATATACTTGGAACACTAACTTTTTATAGACTCACCCACTAACACAGGAATTACAGTATACTTCACCCTGTCCTCACCTGACATCTGAACAGGTGCAGCTATGAGTAGATCTCACAGGACAGTGACCAAAAGCAGGAAACCCCAGGCATTCCTATTCTCTCTTTGTTACTCAACTACAGCCATCCTCAGCTTGTAACACGGTCAGCTGAGTGAGCATGTTTGGGACTCGAGCACAAAATCCAGGCAGTTTCATTAGCAAGTGAATGCTGCATTGTCAGAGGTAACAGGTTATTTGAGCTATGAAACCAAGGTCCCACTTGCCCTCTGAAATAGATCTAAATCATATCATGGCACGATTTCAACCTATACTCGTCTCCCAACTATTACAATCATTTGGTCATTTATCACTTGTGGGACTTGGCTGCACACGAACCATGTTCCTTACATTACAAAGTAACTACACTTCAAAAATACTTAATTGGCTGTAAAGTGCTTTGTGCTGTCTTGGTGATACCAAAGGTTTGAGAATATTAAGCACCCTCCTTCTTAACAAGCTAGAAGTGGAGTCGGTCTGGACTCTCACCAGCTATCCTGGCTGAGATTAAATGCCAGAATATTCCGAATAACATGGGGAGAAACAGTTATCCACAAGATTGGTCAGGTGCTCTCAGTTCAATGCAGGGTTAACATTAGTTTCACTGTGAAACTCTATGGTCAAGAATCCAACATATCAAAAAAAAACAATGGTTGATCGATGTATTGAATAGGGAAGGTAGGACTGAGGAGGCTTCATTCTTATTTTAATGTTTGCAGTTTTAGGATGTCTCAACAGTTCTGAAGCACTACACACTTGACAACTTGCCTTAATCCCAGGTCACGTTTAATAGTTTGATACAGTTTAAAAGCCTGTTCGACTTTACTGAAGTGAAATGGACATCAGTCCTACCTTTCAAAAGCATGCTGTACTCAACTTGTGTGCACATATGAAGTTGCGTACCTCGGCTACTTTCATCAACATGACTCAGTTAAACACCTCAAACACTGTCCCACGAAGGCAGCGGGGGGGAGCAGGGAAAGGTGGTGGTGCTCACCAGGTATTTCTTCATTCATCTCAGTCAATATTTATATACAGTCATGTTTCACAAAGCAGTTCACTGCAGTCAGCACTTGGAGATATTTTGGTGAGTAAGGCACTATATAAATGGACATTTTATTTGAGCACAAGAGGATAGTGGATTACACAAATTATAGTGATACAGCATTTCAACTTTCCAATATGAACAGTTTTGACAAAGTTATCACCTTCAATGTGTTGTTTGTGAACTACAAACAGTGCCACCCAACACAAATTGTTACCTAATCATAGCAAGGTTATTTTAGGACATGTACCAATTTTAGAAAACACCTTTGACTCAATACAGCCACTAATGGTTGATGGACTGGATAATAGCGTACTTAATTTTGTATTAGATTGGGAGCATCCTCTCTGGAATGTGCGAGAGTTCAACTATCTTTAAAGTCCCTTTGAAAAGGTACTGCCTCTACAATCCCTTTTGTCCCCTCCAACTACAAATACAAAACGCACTACCCAGTCAGGATGTTGGCAAAAGAGGGGACTACCTCTTTCCTACGTTTCTGTTCTGTAACTTGAAAACATGAAAAGTGAACTTTTATCGGAGTTGAAACCTCTTTGATAGGTCTACTGACAATGTGTCCAAGGCTAGAAGGGCTCAAATTCTTATACTGCTCAACCTGTGTCACAACTCCTGGCAAAAAACATATTTGCCATAATAGGATACAAAATTCTACATTTAGTGTGCCATGCATGACAAATGCTATTCACAAAGTAGGTTCATTAAATCCCATTGCATACAAATACACACATCATACCTTTTTAAAAATATATAATTTATACATCATGTACTTCTCATGTGCAGAAAAGCCTGCACATTCTGGGCAGATGAACATACACATGTAACATGTGTGTATTTAGTCATCACTGGAAACACAACACAACCATTTGGTGATTGAGTCTCTGGAGTCACTACTTTTTTCACATGTATTATGCCATTGGCATCGCTCTCTGCAATGTTTCTGGGCAGTGATCTCTCTCTCCCTGGTTTTGCATGTTCACCTCCTGCCTGATCAGTCCTCTGTTAAATTACAGGCATTGTCACTGCAACAGGAAACAACGGTGAACGTATAAATCACAGTTTTTAATGCGAGAAGTCCAATGGCAAAACCGGAAGCAAGAAACCGCTTCTGATTGACCTCTAGTCAATATTTATCCTTAAGTCAGTATCAACAAAAGATCACCTTTGTCATCATTTCCATTTGTGGGAGCTTGCTGTGTGCAAATTGGATGCTGAGTTACAACAGTGATAGCATTCCGAAAGTTGTTCATTGACTGTTAAGCTTTGGAGATGTCCTGAAATTGTGCTATGGGCTGCATAAATACAAGTTATTCTTTCCAAATACTTCCATTCTGTACAAAAACTGTGTTATCCTCTTAGGACATCATTATAGCTGTTTGTACATTAACAGCCACTGAATTCCTTAACCATCAAGACTTGACTCTTGCACTGAAGTTTTGCAAGCCATTTTTCCAAGTTCAAGCAAACGTAGCACAAGGTGTTCATGTGCGCACTGGACCTTACTGAAATCGTTATGAACAGCTAAGTTACCTGAGGCATGAGGGGGCCAAAAGCTCTCAGCAGTACCATTTTCAGAAGACGCTAGTTAAGCCGCTCCAAAGAAAGATTTGAACTTTGAAAAGGTTGTTTTGGGAACGTGATACCAGTTGCTTATGGTAATTTTGCTCAAAGCTTAGTAATTCCACTTAGGAGCCTCAAAGATGATAATTTTGCTATTGCAAGGAATATAACAGCCATTATACTGGAGTCGCTCCATCATAACAGCCATTCAATATGTGCACATATTTAACAGTTGCAGGAGAAAGTTCAATATTTAATCAACTAAGATACAAAAGCTTAATTTAAGATTTGTTTTACAAACTGCCACTTAATAGTACTTCATGATGACAAGATGCTGATTTAATCTCAGATACAGAAATCTATTCAAAGATGTGGTATCATTTGAGGTCAAGTTGCAGTGGTTACACTCTGGTAAAAGCAAAGTTTTGCGATGCTGGAAATCTGAAACAAACACAAAATGCTGGAAGAACACAACAGATTTGGCAGCATCTGTGGAGAGAAAAACAGTTAATGCTGCAATCCAGTATCAATCTTCTTCAGAAGCTACTCTGGGCTCAGTATTCAATAATTTAATGTACCTTAACTCTCTGGGCTCGATATTCAACAATTTAACGCACATAAGATATCAGAATTCTGTGAATTTGCCCAGTACAAGTGCAATACCACTAGCTTCCTTATCTTGTGGTGATCCAAAGCAAAATAATGACAGTCACAGGACAAGAATGAAAAAGCTGACATTTATATATCAGCTCTCAACCTCAGAACATCTCAAAGTACTTCCATTGCCTGAAAAGTACTAAGTGTAGTCCCTGTTGCAAAGAAGACAATACAGCAGCCTACGTATACGTAACACAGTGCAAGCTCCTACAAACAGAAATATAAAGACCAGATCACATACTTTAGTGACACTGGCTGAAAATACTATTAGCTAGAACAAAGCAGGGTTAGGTACCCTACTCCACTTCCTATGAAGTGCCATGTGATCTTTTATCTACACTTGAGGGGTCAGACAAAGCCTCAGTTTGTCTTTTCATCTGAAAGACAGCACTACTGATTGCAGCACTTATTTGGCATGGGGTGTTATCCATCAAACTGTGGCCAACACCTCTCAAGAAAATCAAGAGGAAAACATTTTGATAAAACAGATGAATTAGCTTATGAGAACAAGCATCTACTGGGGTAGAGGAAATTCTCATTTTTTTGTGTTGTATATGACTCAGAAAAGATCCCCTTCGTGTTTTCTATTTCTTTCATCACTAGATGCCAACCCAATCTTGTACTTGCCACGCACCAACTTTCCAGCAAGTATCAACAAATAGCGATCAGGAGCAGAAACCTTGATCTTGGTCTACTAGAATCAGTTAATAACGGGAGCCCATAGAAGATATGTACCAATATAAACAGTCAATCACACAATTCACCTGCCTATTTAATGAAATATTGTCTGTTTTATCCCACAAGGTCAGGAAGTGAAAGATATAACTGAAGCCAATGTTTACACACATTTATAACAATTTGTTTAGTTACAGGTTACAAACAAACATCTGCTCAACTAACAAATGAAGTTGGACTCAATATGTATTCACAATTATTTTTAATTATGTTACAAACATCTCCAGGGCAGGTGTGACTAGTTTATGAATTCCCACATGTACAGCTCAAGAGGCTCTGACTTCTTTGCAAGGACACTTCGGGAAGGGCAATAAATGCTGACCTTGCCAGGGAAGTCTACATTCCATGATGTAATAAAGTGTCCTACTCTATTCAGTCATAAAGCGGCCTCTATCAAACTTGTAAATTATACTCTCGGCAACCCAGACGGTGACTCTCTGCAGCCTCTGACAGGATGGATCACACCATTCCCCTCCAATGCCATAACTTGATCGTCAATTGCCCTCATTTAACACCACGTAGCACATCAATTGCCGACTTCCAGTTCCATAACATCTACTGAGCCCAGCTGATGCTCACAGTATCATTTCACGACAGTGGCATCTCCAATCCTCCCAGCTGGTCTCTCAACTTGCACGTGTAAACTTGAGTTCACTCCAAACTCCGTTAGTGGCACACTGTCCTGCTCACTCATTACTCCTGTCTCCCCGATCA